CATATGCAATGCCTACGGACGTTCCTGGGTTTGCTGGGTCCTGCGTGTTAGGACGCTTCGTGTAGATTGCCGGACATGTAACCAAACATATCTCAAGATTTCTAATAACGACAATTCATCGCCAAAGTGCTATGAATCATATGAATCACCTACGCAGGCATTGGTATGCGTTGGTCAGCAGATGGTAAAAAATTATCTATTTTCTACGCCTAACGACATCTAGACTGGGCTGACTATTCTCTAGGGCATCAAAACAGTTACTTCTGTAGTGAGGCCCTGAAAAAAGCCCTGTACGAATGAACGTAGCAGATATAAGATTTCTTTAGGAATTGGATCAATGGACCCCAAAAGGTTCGCCGGCGTGCTGACATGCAGGCTTTCGAATCCCGATTGGGTATGATATGTCATATGAAAAGTTGTTGGAGCCAATCGAGAACGAGGCCAACAGGTAAATACATTAAAAAAAGCATAAAATTTACTGTAGGTACATTATGTTACGATGTATGCTGATATGTCCCAGATCTGACTGAAACAAAAAAGGAGCATATGCTCTGCAGCATTCGTTTTCTGTTAGACGTCTCCTCGGTGGCGGCGACTGTGCGTAGAGGTAGGTATTGCCCAATCTCGACTGTACCCGTAGCTATCCTTGGACTGGAGCCGAATAGACGGGCACGCCGTGCGTCAAGATCGTCCCATCAACAGCACTCCACGCTTCAGAGGACCCTTTAATGGCATTGCTACTTTGAAGAATTGCGAGGCCGTAAATAGAAAGTTCGCTTAACGCTTCTAGGGGAATAATCTAGAAAGATCATACTACATGGCTATACGATTTTTTTTTTCGTTGCTGGCGAAGACGGTGAGAGAAGAACAGGCGGCGATGGAACCATTTACAGAAGGTTCAAGGAAACTTTCAGGTACGACGGGGGACAGCCCGTAAGAGGTAGCTGGGTATGTATGTATTGTTCATGTACAAAGCTGGATAGCTCTCCACAGCAAGTCCACCAATGAATTGCGCTCCGGACCGGTCGGTGGGACTTGGATGGCACATAATGGCACATACATACATAATAGCCTACCGAATCTTCAGACCCATTACGCGCGACGGATTCTGGTGTCCCTGACAAATCTCCTCTGACTCCGGACTGGACTATTTAAACCAATGCCTTTCCCAACGTGTAATGACCAATTCATCAGAACCAGATATAATAGGAGAAGGATATTCACCAATACACCAATACGCTAATACTACTATTACAACTAATAACATCAATATATGCGAAATTCCAAGCTTAGATCTAAGACGCAAGCGAGCTATATACATATGGTATTGGGTATGGTCTTGGCTAGCTGGTACCCTTTTAATGGTCCCCGTTTTATCAATCTGGTAATGGTACATTGTCGGCGAGACCAAAAAGGGATGGTTCAAGCGAACATCTACGGTAGTACACTGTATATTACCTAGGTATACCATATTACGATACTATGGTATGACACTAGGAAGTCAGTCAGTCGGTTGGTCATCGTCAGCCGTAATAATACTGAGAATTAGAGTTCTCAGCAGCGAACTCGCATCATCTCGAGCCTGAAAGCGGTCAGTGAGTAAGCACAGCAGCCTGGGACGCGGATGAACCGCAAAGTTCTACGGCTTGGCCTCGTCGATTTACTTTGCAAAATCCCTAAGTTTTTTTTCAGAGGCTAGCTGAGAGGTGTTGCGCCCTGACATCATTCAGCTGACGTGAAAGCTTGATGGAGGGGGACCCGACCATATGCGTTAACAACTATTACCAGATATTACAGAAATCGGAAATTCTCATTTATTTATCACAATGATTATTATGACAAGTCTATAACTCTCAAGCGGCATGGTATGTATGTACCGCACGGTGCGATAGAAGCTACGTGATACGTGCTACGACCCACGACCCACGGCTCTCTTTCTCCCTCATCGCTCCTCGCTAGACACCTGCTGCAGGTCATCCACGCGAGAATCTGCACGGGCTAGAAGCGCCACGAGGGGCCGACGACCGAGAGGAATTGGAAATTCCGGCTGGGTAGGTAACATGGACGTGGCGTTCTGCCCCACACATCCTTTTCTACTGCGTACATACTTACAATACCTAGACGTGACTATGTAGGACTGACCTGACTTGACTGACTGTCCTTTCAGCTGCTTTTCTTGGGCCATACGTTATACGCTATATGCTATACGCTATATACTATACATTATACACTATACACTACACACTACGCAAGCACATCGCGGCGTCCGCGGTTGACATATATGGTTGACTAACATACATAAGAGTAAAACACACATACGCATAGACATAATAATAGTATTTTGCATAGACTCAATCACTGCATTCCACGTTATCCAAGAGCCTTCACTTTGTTATACACATCATCCGGGGAAAGGCAACCATGTCGTCACTCGTCATCAATATACAGATTTACAAGCCATCTATCTCGTAGTACCCGTCCGAAGAGGGCTAGTTGTTGCGTTGCATCGCGACAAACAAACAAACATCTGCGCTGGGAGGGATGGGTAGGGATGGTAGGGGGAGGGATTTGCCTGCCAGTTCACCTACGCACACACACATCCTTGCCATACGTCCAATTCGTCTGCGTACGGGGTCCTCAGACAGACATCTTGTTAGATTTCAAGTTCGTTAACTAAGCTTTTCCGTAAGTCCCTCACCTCGTACGCGCGAGGATTAAGGGTCCGAAGCCCGAGAAATTGGGATGGATGGCTAGGCTGTCAGTCAAACTTGTCAAGGTTGGGTGCTGAGATAATTGTTGGTATGGCTTGGTATTCCCCTCGTCGTGCCCAATTCCCTCGTCAGTACATACTACATGATAAGTTAGCTGTCCTTCCGAACGCTCGGTAAACTTAGGAAACTTAGGATAGAGAACCCGTCTCTATTCGGTCGACGCTTGGCTCTTAGTCGGGTAAGAAAGCGGACCCAAGTATAGGCTATTACATATGTGGCTAAGTTAGCACCTATCGAAAAGTCCAGTCCATAATATCTAGATTAGCAGCTTGGGGTTTCCGGGTCTTGGGTTACTACATAGTACTAACTAGTTAGTGCATTGCATCTCCAAGACAACCTGCTCCCCTTCGCGCAGAGTTTGAGTCAGTTAGTCAGTCGCTGTGACAAGTTATAGCTTCAAGATATATTACTAGGATTTTTCGTCCTAATGCTTTATACATAGGTACCTAGCAAGCAACCGAGCAAGCATCTCGCCTCGGCGGCACTAGTTAGACAGATAAAGCTGCCCGAGCTTCCCGCCCGCGGGCCAAGCAATACATGCATACACCCATACATACATATACCAAGCATAATACATAAAGGGATGGGATGTCACAGGTGCTACCCCATTCGACTGTGCGGAGTGACAGGTACCTAAGTAGGTAGATTAAAAACAAGCTATCATTGGATGCATCAACGTTGGTGGAAGAAAGCGGGTTGCGGGAATGCAAGCACTCGTCGAAGATTGTCCGAATGCCCCGCCATCACATCCTCGATCCAACCCACTAGACCCGATAACTCCAGAAGGGGCACTCCAGGGTTGGCACTTATGCAACTTATGGGACTATGGGATTTTCCGACTTGCGGCCATTGGTATGAACGAGTGTGTGTTGTGGGAATGTGGGAATAAGTAACTTGGGTTAGGTACATGCTAACATGTTAACATGCTAACATACTACGGTAGGTAGTCGACGAACTGGGTATAGTATTGCTCCAGCAGCCAGCCATTCGTTCAGCCATTCAGCCACTCCATTGCAACTTTATTTATTCGCAGTTTGTTTTAGTAACGAAGTTTGTCGCGACCTGTTGGCTTAGCTTAGCTCAGCTTTGAGTACATGTAGCGTTTGCTTTCTTTCAACCAAGCATCTGCATGATAAAATAAAATTAGTATAATCGTATAAGCAACAAAAAAGTCACCTAAACCTAGGTACTTAGGTATTCAGTTAGTTAATTTCTACATGAGATATATATACTAACGTGACTGCTTATGAAACATTACATCAAATATCCCCATAGACCGGTGGGCGGACGAAGGGGAAAGGGATGGCTGGTGATTCGTTACGTACATATTTAATACATTAAACTTGACTGCATCAGGTACGTACCTACACAACATATATTGATGTAGGTACATGGTCGTATGAGCTATCTTCATGGGGTGAGGGTCAGTATAATGATAGATAGGGTTCGGTAGTGCGACACCGGGGAAAACGCGGCCCCTTTCCCTTTCCTTTTCCTACGGTATAGTACATAATGTAATGCAGGTGTATGGTGTATGTGTGTGTGTGTGTGTGTGTACTTGTGCCACACCTTAACTTAATTAGTAACCGTGAATGTATAAGTCATCACCTCCTCGAACCAAACAGAACATCGTAATATATTGCTTACGTAGTTCTCAAGACCCTAGGTTAGTCCAGATTTGAAAAGCTTCTCGTCCATGTGACCGCATTTCCAATGTACGAAGCTGTGTATCTGTGTCTAGGTAGGTGAATCGTGATTGAAATACCGTACGATGTTTTCGTTAGTGGATACCTTAAGTCTATAACATGTAAATATAATTCAACGATAGGTTCTCTAACGACTCGCATGATCTATCAAATTCAAGGTGGATTCAAATGTGGATATTTTGATCGGATTGTCTTGTCTATTGCCTACCTCGGTAGCTTTGCATGATAGATAATATCCCAGAGTTGCGAGCTATGAAAAAAAGAGTAATAGGAAATCCTCGAGGCTGATAATATCATTTGTCCTCGTCTAAACAGGTATCAAAGCTAATTCCCTCCTGGTACAAGCAGGCATATAGTTAAACATTATTATTATTATTATTATTATTATTATTATTATTTTATCACGGAGAGGGTCGAATTGAACTAGCAGCTATATCTCGGAAACACAGCTTGCGAAGCCGAATTGCGGAGTGCGGAACCGATGTGCCGCTTCAATAGTATACGTATCGCTAAAATATTCAAATTACGAGTAGAAACTGAATTCTAGTTCTTAGCTTAGTATCCCTGAGTACATCGAGGATGCTATCTAAGCTATAGAATACTTGACATCACACGTTCTGCAATTTGCATATTCATATTGCTTTCTCTATGAACAAGATTTTGCGTATGGCGATATACAGTGACCCACATCGACGCGGCGACCAATCTACCATAATTAGGGTATGCGTTGCCATTTGATTTGTGCCTCTCCGGAATTGTCCTCCTCGTAATTAAAATAAACGCGAACGCCTGCGCCAGAGACTAAACCTCTAAGGGCGAGTGGCTTAAACTGCAAGCCGCTACTCTACTGCGTCTTGAAGAGCAGGATGGCGCAGTGTCCTAGGTAGAAGTAGATGAAGTGCTTCGTTTCTAGGATTGTGTTAGCTCATACATCACTTACTTCTGTCTTCGGGCGTTTGGAATAAAAGCGGCATACCGTGAGTGACAAAGCTTCCGAAGTTCCTTCCTACGATGCAGTGCCAAGTCGGACCCTTTCGGTCGTCGAACTAGCAAGCTAATTTTAGTATTCCCAATGAAAAGAATCGTTGGCAAGTAGATCGTATAGATAGACGTACGGTGCGCTTGATGTGCTGTGCAATATCCTTCTCGATGGTGTATTTACCCATAGCTTCCTGAGCTGCCCTTGACGTCAGATCATATATATCCATAGTTCCCTAAACAAAGACACATACCGACGTCGACTACCTCTTGTTGCATGTCTTCCGTCTGCGGTTCCGTGTTAGTTAATAATGATCCGAAACCTTATTCATCGCTGGGTAGTTCTAACCATATCTGCGGACTTGATTTGGGCTGTAGAGCGAATTATGTTAGCCAACTATGTATTCATGGCTACGCGTAGAAACGAGAAACGAACCTTCGAGTTTATCGCGGGCACCGGCCGGTGGGGGTGACTGTTGTTCCGCCATCTTGTCGGTTTATAGTGTCGGCTTCGTGGTAACTTAAATAGCCTACATCAAGTATGATCCTTAGTTAGTGGGCATGGCTTCAGACGATAATGCTATAGGACAGGTGGAGTGTTAGAAGCTGTAGTTAATATACGATAAATATACCTAAGCCGAAAGCTCAATAGCAAGAAAAAGGCAATGATAGGTTCTTATACTGTTTGTTATCGCAAAGTGGTTTCGCTATAAGCTTCACGAGGTGACCTTGTCGTGTCGGCGTTGAGGTTGTCGAATGCGTTACGAGGTGGGTGGTTTATGCCCAATTGTTGCGTGTTTGGCGACTTCAGAGGTCGACATGTAAATTGTTGCAGCTATCATTCATCATTGGTCCCTACGACTTGAGAATTAGGAACCCCTGTCATTATCATCACTCCCATTGGTTAATATATGCACGGACCACTGTTACCAACAAATCTAGAGCCAAATTGTGGATCGTGGGGCTGAAGAGCCTCAAGCGGGATGTTTGAACCACGTGATGATAAAAGATTTCTGTCTCTGATAACTACGCGATTTTGCAACTTTTTTTTTCTCTGCCTTTTGGGGAGTTTCCATCACTACCTACTCTTCAACCATTCTTTAGGCGCTGTTAGGTGACCTCGTTTACAAGTCAAAGAATTGAAACCGATTCAACTTTTTTGCTCTTAATTTTGTTAATGTCTCTATAGCCGGATTAGATACCCAATAATCATCATGGATTCATCACGAATCTTCGTTAAAGGTCTGCCACCGAATCTCAACGAGGCCGACTTGCGCAAGCATTTCGCGTCCAAAGGTCACATCACAGACGTCAAGCTGATACCTCACCGAAGGATTGGATATGTTGGCTATAAGAGCCCGGAAGAAGCTGCTAATGCAGTCAAATACTTCAACCGTTCCTTTGTACGGATGTCTAAAATATTTGTCGAGTTAGCAAAACCCGTTAGTACCTTCAGTACAATACCAGTTCGCATTGGCTTAACGCTTCTTATAGATAGCAGATCCTTCCTTGTCTAAGTCCAAAGAAAGATGGGACAAAACAATCCCCAATACGGGAGTCTCTCAGGCGACTATCAAACCGTCTGCCGAGTCGGAATCACAACCCGATAACTCAAAAAAGAGGAAGCGGGATGAGGTTAACGAGTCCGACCCGAAACTACAAGAATTTTTAAATGTCATGCAACCTGCGAAGACTTCAGCAAGCAAGATACACGGTGTCGTCACAGAACTTGCAGATGAACCTCCTGCAAAATATGCTGCACTTGTTGAAGAGGGAGCATCTGATGACGAATACGAGGTTGTACCAAGCCGACGAAAGAAGAGCCAACCTATAGAAAATGCGAAGCTGGTGGTACCAACTCTAAGCGTTGCAGACGGCGGGACAGATGGCCAGCCTCAAGCAGAGCCTGATATAGTCGAAGAACCTCGGGAAGAAGCGGTGCCAACTGCTACTAGCGTTGTTGAGACAACATCAGGTGTAACTGCTACGGACGGCGATTGGTTACGGTCACGGACGAGCAGATTACTTGACCTAGTCGAAGATGAAGATATCGTGCCTATAACTGCCCCACCTGAAGACCAACCATCTGGACCGTCACTCCAGGAGCATGAACCTGAGGTTGTTGATGCGACTCTTGACGAGGATCGGGTTATGAAAGACCCAACTCCTCAACCAAACGAAGACGAGCCTGATATAGAAACTAAAGATGGTACCCTAGACACAGTTCGTAAGACCAAGAGGTTATTCGTGCGCAACCTACCGTATTCTACAACCGAAGACGAGCTTAGGTCGTACTTTGAGCGATTCGGTGACATTGAAGAGGTAAGCCTTTCCCAGAATTTAATTATTTTTTTCCTCGGTTCTATGATGAACCCCAGATAGGGACAGCTGATACCAATGGTATTCGATGAGAAGCCTGGGCCAGTATTTTAGTAGATGCTTTATGTCTGAGAACCATCCCTTCTTCCTTAGTTTCTTCATGTTAGCCACCTTCCATTCCTGCTAAAATGAAGATAGGTACATGTGCCGATGGAAAACTCGGCCAACAATCGCGGAATTGGCTTTGTTCTGTTTGCTAGCTCAGACGATGCGACAAAAGCATTCCAAACAGACCACTCATCTTTTCAGGGACGAATATTGCATGTTCTCCCAGCATCAGCGAAACGTGATCATAATCTTGATGAGTTTGCACTGTCAAAGTTGCCATTGAAGCAGCAGAATATTATTAAGAAAAGAGCCAAGGCAGCAGAATCGAGATTTAACTGGAATTCACTTTTTATGAGCCAAGATGCCGTAAACACATCAGTTGCCGATCGTCTGGGAATCTCAAAAGCAGAATTGCTTGACCCAACCAGTTCTGACGCAGCTGTGAAGCAGGCGATAGCAGAGACATCGACGATTCAAGACACTAAGGCTTACTTCGTAGCTAACGGTGTCGATCTGGACGCATTCAAATCAGGGCCTCGGGGTGACACGGCCATCCTAGTCAAGAATTTCTCTTACGGTACTACGATCGACGAGATCAGAACCCTCTTTGAAGAACATGGTCAAGTTTTGAAAGTACTCATGCCTCCGACGGGGACAATTGCTATTGTCCAGTTCGCGCAGGCCCCTCAGGCTAAGGTGGCTTTCGCCAAGTTAGCATACCGTCGATTTAAGGACTCGATATTATTCCTTGAGAAAGCACCAAAGAACTTATTCGTAGATAAAGAAGCACAAGCTGAAACAGTGCAGACCAGCAAAGAACCCAATGCTGTGCAGAAACTGTCTGCGTCTGAGCTACTAGAACAGGAAACTCAAGAACCTGTCGAGTCAAGCTCGTTATTTGTAAAGAATCTCCATTGGGATACCACTACCGAGGAGCTTGCAAATGAGTTTAAGCATCTTGAAGGATTCAGGTCGGCCCAAGTGAAGACAAAGAAAGATCCTAAGAAGCCTGGTCAAGTGCTTAGCATGGGATTCGGGTTTGTCTCATTTTCCAACAAGAAAACTGCGGAGGCGGCCTTAAAGATTATGGACGGCTATGTCCTCAGAGCGCATAAACTTCAAGTTAGGGCTTCGCATCGCGGGCGTGACGCAGCCGAAGAGCGAAGACAGGAGGACAATGCGAAGAAGGCCGCAAATCAAAGAACAAAGATCGTGATAAAGAACGTTCCCTTCCAAGCCAACAAAAAGGATATCCGGATGCTCTTGAGCACGTATGGTCAGCTCAAATCAGTCCGTATACCTAAGAAGTTTAATTCTACTAGTAAAGGGTTCGCCTTCGCCGAGTTCGTCTCGCCGAAGGAGGCAGAGTCGGCACTGCTCGCCCTGCAAGACACCCATCTGTTAGGCCGCAGACTCATTCTTCAATACGCAGAAGCAGAAGCGATTGATCCTGAAGAGGAGATCGCAAAGATGCAAAGGAAAGTTGGCGGCCAAGCTAGTAAAATGGCCCTGCAACAACTTACAGGGGCAGGCCGTAAACGGGTCAACCTAGCAGGTGACGAAGACGAAGGGGAGATCTAACGAGTAATTAAATGTGTCTATATTTCCGATTTCGTGCCTGACTATACCTCTGGGGCTCTGGAGGGGTGTAGACATTGCCACGTTGGGAACTAGGGACAATGGTTCATTGCGTTATCCCTTGTCAGGGAGAGGCACCCATTGCTGGATCTGGGGCCACTTCCTTATCCCAGGGGTTTGGCATCACAACTAGCTTGCAGATTCATCCCCTCATTCAAGTGGCTTTTGTAACCCCTCCCGATTGAATCTCTATCGGTCCTAGACTTGATGATCCTATATGGGTATGTTAATCAAAACACATTCCGCCCCGCAAAGTTCACCACAACCGCCCCATCATTACCGGCCCGAGACTGGTTAGAGAGCTTCAGAATAGGAAATTAATGCATTCCCGTGGTGAGTCCATTATACAGTTGCTCCTTATCATCTCGATATGATTCTCCTTGCGTGCCAGCAGCATGCGTCTCTTGTCAAAGACGTCACCTGCTTGCCTCGACCTCATTGGTCGTGGAGTCTGTACAATTCGCAGCATATTCTTGACGACGCCCTTGAAACCTCCTAGTGGGTGTTTCTAGGGCCTCGTGTTCCTCTAGGGCACCTTTATTGTTATCCTCCTAGATAGCCAAATAGCAGAAGTCGAATGAATGTAATCTCTATAAGATATAGCGATCACCTCTTCCATGCCAACACTCGAGTCCAGAAAAACTATCTCTAGTTGTAATAGTAATGGGCATTCTCTTTGCCGCTGCCATTCCTTTAAACATATCTTAATTCTGCTTCCCAACGTTCTTGAGCTTTCCCCAAGCATTCTCTAGAATTCTCGCTCTTTTTACAACACATTCTTTTGGTCTTTCGTCATACACATCCAAATGGATTACCCACGGCCTGTCATTTCGTCTCAGAGATACTCCCCAGCATCAGACTACGCATACGAGACGGATCACGAACTAATTCCGATGACACGACAGCCTCTTGGTGAATCCACAGGCAACGTTCAACCACATAATCTCGCTGCTCTGGCGCTGTGTAATCACTCCTTATCACCACCTCTGCGTTCTATACCAACACCACCTATAGTCCCAACACAGGCTTTGACCTCGACCTATGGGACAAGCCTTCGAGGCGGACGTTCTTTACACCGAGATGTATCATTACGAGAGTCACCAATGGGTTATCTAAGGGGCAGCAAGAACCCCATCTATGCTTATAAGCATTTCGCCGATTATCGTAATAAAGTAATGCAAAAGGAGCTCGAGAAAGAAAAACCGATATGGCCATTATGGTTGGAGGATGCTTTCCTCGATGGTAAGCAACACTGACTCGGCAAATCCAGAAATAATTTGTACTAACTTTCAAAAGCTCTTCTGTTAATCCCACAGATGGGCCGGAAAAAGTTCAGCTCAAAGACCATCCTATACGGGCGGAATATGCTCATTACAGAATATCTATGGATCTACCACTGGCTTCTACATCCCCCACAGAACGGAGAGGCCATCCCAAACAGACAGCAGAGGGAGAAAGATCCGAACGGAAAGCCTCATCCGATGTACAGGGGACGAAAGCAAGTATCGAGCCACATCCAAGTTTTGAAGGGCTTCTTCACAACGTTGGTCACTTGTGAGTATACCTAAAGCTGTCGAATGTTAAGATAACTAACACCATCCCCAAGTCCACTTCATCTTCCCAAGTAAGAAAGATGCCAAGGAAGATGATAGGAAGTTGGTAAGGGATGACGACGATACGGAATCCTTTAAGAACAACCGAGTACTCATTTCTATAGCCGACGGCCGACTTCCGGACGAACGGCCAAACTAC